TACCAAATGCATCCTTTCACTGAGATACAAACCTTTCGAAAATTACTTCCTGAAAGTGTTGTTCTTTTAATTTTTTCCAGTAGTGTACATGCTGAAATTTTTAAAGGGTAAAATAACTAGAGTGAAATGTTACTAAATGGACCCCTTGCAAGGGGGGCCTTCTGTAAAACATCGAATAGCTGAGTAATTGCCTTCTAAATCGCCACTCGGGGGTTTTTGGGGTCGGGGATTTCGATTCTGACACTGAAAAGTATGCACTGGGGCCCCCGAGGGGGGCGAGGGGGAAGGTTTCTGTAAAACATCGAATAGCGTTATTTTTTGAAAATTTAGTCGGCCATCTTGGATCTACCGTCTTGAATGTTGCATAATTGACCTCGGATCCGTGATCAGTGACCCCGAAAACCCCCGTAAACCAAATTTGGCGCGATTCTGTTATTTTTTTGAAAATTCGTGATTTCTGACCTTAATTAACCCGTTTTTTTAGGTTAGAAAAAGAACCATCAATTCTAACCGCGGATTCGCGTTTGACGGGGTGTTAACCATATAAATGAACATTATGAATATAGAAAAAAAAATTACATTTTTCTTAGCACTTTTTCGTGAATTTTTGCTATTTTTGACCTGTTTTTGAGGTTAGGAAATTCCTGTGATTGTGATAGCCCCAGGACGTCGGGCATACTTTTCAGTGTCAGAATCGAAATCTCCGACCCCAAAAACCCCCGAGTGGCGATTTAGAAGGTAATTACTCAGCTATTCGAAAGTTTTACAGAAGGCCCTCCCCCTTGCCCCCCTGGGGGGGCCCAGGGCCGTCGGGCATATTTTTCAGGGTCAGATTCGGAATCTCCGACCCCGAAAACCCGTGCACACAAATTTCTACAACTTTTAGTCAATTTTTACCATTTTTAGAAAATTCGGAAAAATGTATGCTCTCCAAGATGCAGTTTATGCACCCGCAATGCAGTTTCGATCCAGCCCCAAAGTGTAATAGACAGACTTTTTTCCTGATATTTTTCCGAATGCCGAAAACCGCAACTCGATTGGTTCATCAGAAAGAAATTTCCGTATTCTGGGTGATTTTGGTCTAACTTGCCTGGACTAATATATCAATCATTCCATATGTGGAATATTAGAACATCCTGTACGCATACATAAAGGCAAATAGAGCTAATGTAGTTATTTAATAATTTAAAAATTGTAGCTACTACATTTCCATATATTTACTTCAAAATTCAACTTTATAGAGCTTCCAAAACATAAAAGGAGTACGTAGGTAAATAGCTAGATAAAATATTTTTTTAATGAGAAACTTGAACTTAAGTATATAAGTATTATAAAAATATTTAACTTGTCGATCCACGATCACTGTCAGTAACGTTGCGCATTAAAACATCCAAAAATAAATTGTATAATTAGACTAATACTAATCATTTACAGGTGATTTAAAAAATAATCAAAGTAGCAAATATTTGTCATTTTTTTTTATAAATTCAGTGTCGAAGTTTCTTTGTTTAAAGGATTTTTCATTAATTTTTAAAAATACTTTGTCTTGATTTGTCAAGTGGCATTTCAGTTAATACATACATGTGTAATTGTTTTATATTGACATATTTAATCATCACCAATCACTTCTGTTGTCAATAAAATTCACGAATTTTTTCATGAAGGTACTCAATACGTGAATTTCTGAAGTACCTAATACCAAATAATTAATGAGACTGCTATTTATCTGTATATTAATTCAGTGTGCCTTTATAAAGGGCGACAAAGCATTTGGAAAAGTAATTCTAATTTTTTTTTAGCTATACAGGGTGATTCACAAACGGTGACCAAAAATGAAACCTAGTATTATTTGGTGAATTTTAAGGGCAGTCTTTCGTATAAAGTTTTTACTTATTTACTCTTTGGTAAATGTTCGTATAAAATTTCTGTCTAGGACGCTCCGTTAAAAAGATACATGGTTTTAAACATCAAAAAATATTTTAAATTTTTTAAATAATTTAAAAACTAGTAAGTGAAATAATTCGAAATGGGGAATATGTATTTATGCAAACATTGTCCAAAATCTGAAGCCTTTTCCTAAAATTTAGATTCTTCAGTGGCGGAGATACAGAGTATCGGTGGCATATTTTTCTAAATAGTACGCCACTGCTTTACGGTAACAAGCATGATATTTTCGGATTCACCTTTCAATTTTCTACGAATTACTACTACTACTCTCTTATTTTTTTCGAAAAAAAACCTGATTTTCGAATAAAACTTAAAAACGAACTGGAAACACTTCAATATTCAAATAAAATGCGGTTTAAAATTACTAGGTTGCGATAGCAACTTTGACATTCTGAGCAGTTAGAAGAAAGAATAAATAATACTTTTCATCAGATTCAGGCAACAATAAATTTCAAACAAATTACATTTTCGCCTGTGTTTGTGGATATGGAAGTATTTTTGAGCATTTACTCAAATAAAATTATTAAAATGATGACTAATGTTATTAATTTCTTTATGCGAATAAATAAGCGAATGATTAGTGTTTGTTATGTCATAAGTAAAAGTGTTTTCAATTCGTTTTTTAAGTTTTATTCGAATATCAGGCTTTTTTTGAAAAACATAAGAGAGTTTTTGTTGTTTACATAAATACATATGCCCCACTTCAAATTATTTCACTTACTAGTTTTCAAATTATTTAAAGAAATTAAAAATATTTTTTTAAGATTAACACCCTGTATCTTTTAACAGAAGCGTCCTAGATAAAAACTTTGTACGAAAGACTCCCCTTAAAATTCACCAAAGAATACGAGGTTTCATTGTGGATCACCATTGGCGAATCACCCTGTGGGTACAATAAAAAACCAACAATTCAATTAAACTCACAATCAGTTCAACAGGAAGGATTCAATTTGTTATTTTTATATTTACTAGGCTTGATATTGTTTGTAAAAATATAGTTTATTATTTATTGTAGTTCAAAGAAATTTTCGGGATTTATACAAATTATTTATTAATAACCAAATTTTTTCTAAATAATTTAATTGAAGAACTTCGTAATTTTATTCATAAAAAAAATGTCAAAGCAAAACTGCTACAGAAATAATTTAAGTAAAATGTTATTGATAGCAGTGCTTTAGCTACGATCACAGAAGAAATTTAATTGTAATGCTTTCGGGGAAACAAATCATTCTGTTAACAGCAGACTTGAAAATGCGCAGTTTCCTGATATTAACTTATTATTCAATGTTCGCGGGACCTTCAAGATAATTTTCGTTTTCCTAGATTCAGTAGCAAAAGAGTCGCCCAATTACTTTATCGTACAACAACAGTAAACACAAAATAAAATTACAAAAATTTATATTTAAATACATTCATTTCATCTTTCTTTATTTTCTTAATATTTTTTCTGTTGATATAAGCGAAAGTAAGGATTATCTTAAGGTTTGACATTAAAATGTCAAATTCATGAATTTCTTAAATAGAAGACAAGAACCTTCATATCAATCAACTTAACTTCAATAGAATATATTTTGTCCAGGGTGATCTAGAACATTCACTTGATGTAAATAAAAAATATTTATGAAATGTGGAGAAATAATTTCGTTGACGTTAGATTACCATCATGGAATTTTAAGTAAAATACTAATAACATTATGATATATAGTATAAGTACATAAAGATACCCATTTGCAGTTATCTATCTACTTTTTTCGTTTTCCTGTTATAATGACCAACTATCAGTTGTGGGTTACCCTGTATATAAGTACCTAAGAATACTTTAAAAAATATAAGTAAAACAAAACGATAATATTTTACTTGACAAATGCCATTCCATGTGACAGTGACAATTTTAAGTACAATGCATGTGTTGCCATGTACCATATTATAGTTCATTTTTCATTGAATATTTCAAATTGAACACAAAATTATATAGGTACTTAAAGAACAAGAATGGCTTTTCTAACTCGAGATTAAATATTTTTTTCATTTCTACACTGGTTCACTCACGACATTTTAACTCTTGTTGCAAAATAAACTACATATTACTTTAAATTTTAGATACAATACCTATTTTAAACATTGCAATTAATTTCTTAAATTATACGCACATTTAAAAAATAACCAGATTATTACTAAAACATGCGTAGTACAGTTAGAAAGATGGGATCTAGATAAGAAATATATAATGAAAAAGATTATTACTCTAATCAGTTTTAGATAAAAAGTTATTGATTTTAGTAGTCCTGACAAACACAATAATATTCCGATAATATATAAATAATCTAAATTGTTTGCAAATAGAAAAAAGTAAACATGTCAGTTTAATAGGAATAGTTAATCAGTCAGCAAAATATTTCAACTATGTATATCATAAAAGTAATTCCCAGCTAAAATTTTGCTTATAAACACAGTGCAATTTAAATAAGACACAGAGATACTGAGCATATTTATATAAAACACTTTTACAATCTAAATTTAAGACAGTATACTATATCAATTTTATTAAAAACTTGGTAAAATTTGACAGAAATAAATTTATTTGAAATTATTCCTGTATATACTCCATTTGTAAATATAAATTCAACTCTATCCTGTTTAGAAATTTTTCTTCATATAAACTTTAATTTAAATAGGAAACAGCGACATATTTTTAATTATATAAATTGTATGCTAACAAAGTACCTAATTGCTGACTGAATTTATCACTTTCTGCTTTTATAACTCCGTCGAGGGTGATCATTTAATTCAGAAATAGGTACCTTACACTAATTATTTTTTCAGCAAGATCAATTAAACATACTGCACTGAAAACAAATACAAAATATATCTTTTAACGGAACAAATATTTAAAAAACAAGACACAACATCCACTGGGTCATCTATTCTCAGACATATAATTTTATAAAACTATAAGGTTTAATATTGTTTTACAAGAAGATGTACTCAAGAGTACTCTTGGATTTATAGAGAGGGGATGGGTATTATAAAACTGACCACCACTGAACTTCTCATCATAACATCTTAGTGTCCAGTGTAGTGTTGGTCAACCTGCTTGCTACTCAACGATTTGACTTGTTACAATAGTTTTTTGAGCTACAAGGTAGGTAGTTCTTCGATATCAATCAGTTGTTCGGATTTATTTTTGTGATTTAGTGTTAGTCATGCTTAGACAGGATCCGGATTTTTGTTAATTACTTTCTATAATTTATTAAAGAGAAGAAAATACTTATAGTAAAATTTTATGTATTGAAAATAACTATTTAAAGTTTTTATTACCTTAATCACAAAAATAAATACATATAATATAAACAAGCATTAATGTAGTTGTAATTTAATTATATAATTTTTATGTAACTTTTATTATAAAATCAAGCAATTAACAAATTTCTTTTTAAAAAAGAAATAATTTTTAATAAAAAAATATTTTTTTTCTTTAGAGAAGTTTAAAAATTTATTTTATAACATTTTCGTATGCACTCACATATACTTAATTTCAAATTTTAATATTTATTGTTGTTGTATTAATACAAATATAAAATAAAAAAACTATTGTACATATTATTCTGTTTTAGATATTACAATAATTATATTGTTCAACAATATTTTTGTACAGGATACTGTTAAGTGTACCCCTTTTATAAAGATTTTATAGGTCGATACCCTTAAGGCGAGTTTCATTAACTATTATTTTTATTAAGTATCCAATTCTAACCGAATGAAATAATAACAGGAAGCAGGGACTGTCAATTGTGGCTCGGTGGATATTCAATTATTGTTTAACATTTTCCATTTCGTTTCTTTGTTGCACATTTATCGTTTCAAGGCTTGCTAGATTGATATTTATGAATGGCACTATCTGTTCAGTATTATGTAAATTACTGAGGTATTTCGCAACATATGCATTGTTTTTATTTTTTATTGTTTTAAAATGGCATAAGTATATTTAAAATACTTATTTCTTATCCAAACAGGAATGTCGTTTGACATGGTTATTATTACTTAATTAAATACATTAAATCGTATAATTTTTACATTTATTCTACATATGTACAACCAAACAGATTTTAAAAAATGGTTACTTTCGAAAAGACAAGTTTTAAAACATCATTTCTGCATTTTCGATATTTGATCATAATTCTCGTTCAGCGGTTCGGCTATGTTATACAAGAGAATAAGTCTATCCTGCTCGTATTCTCTCTCTCTCTCTCGAACTCGGGTAGCTTTTTCTGAACGATCTATGTAGATAAGCCTTTACTCTTGAGTACCTTCTCTTGAGAACTTCACTTTTTTATTTTCTCAACAGGTTTTAGTTCAATAGCCGATGAATAGCAAGTTTGTCTGGGTGCTTTTAGTTTTTAGTATTATAGTGCTAATACTGTAATAAATTTCTATACTTAACGACATTTGAATTTTATTCACTTTATATGGAAATCAAGCAATTTTTTAATACATTTTATGCAGTGGTGATGCAATTAATTACCTAATATGATTTTAATGTCAAATCTCTAATATTAATAAAACATTTCAAAGATGAATTCTTACATAAGTAATTTTACAGCGTGATATATCACAGTTGATATCGTAAATTATCAGAAAAAATGTAAACAAGATTTTTCTTCCTCGAAATTACATTACGGTTTTTATTATTAAATAAAAATTAAAAAACTTCGTGGACATATTTCAATAAATATATTACAGACAATATTATTGAATTAACTTTAAAGGAAGATTATTATTATCATTATTATTAATTATAAAGGAAATTCCTTTTGATTTGTCAAGACAAGAAAAAAGGCTAATCTGAACACTTACTATACTTATTAGATAGTACATTTTACGTCAAAAATTACCAATGCAATCGAAAAACATAACATGTATATCTTTTGTAAAATGACAATGATCCCAATTAGACCAGAACAATTTTACTAAAAGTAAAATTGCTTTCATTCGAAATAAAGCTAAAAATATACTGATTTTTAGTTAACAACGTACATTTCCAAATCTAACTGCTTTCCTTTTATTTAACAGATTGTACATTTTCAAACCACTATATATTTTTTCGAATTACATAATAATTACACTGATTTTTTGTGCCATGTCAAGCAGCGTTGGCGTTTATTATTACAAAGCAAGGTGGGAACTGAGAAGAAATACCTATTGATAACTTTCGCTTTGTAAGCTGATTTGTTCTTGAATTAAGGCAGCTGTGGAAACGTTTTATTAATCTATTTTCTGCTTTTACAGCACAGTAAATAAGTTGTAACATTGGTAATCATTACATTACCAATAATTTCATAATACCCACAAACGAATTTAACAGACTTCAATAACTATTATGACAATTTAATACAAAAAATATTGTTTCATTCAGTGAGATAATATTAAATTCATGTGCAAATTCATGCCAAAATTCAATGTAAAATAAATACTACATTAATGAAATGTTTTTATCAAGAGATTTCGATGATCAGTAAAACAACGAAACCACAATGTATACATTGAAGCATATATGGTATTTTTATTTTTCTTCTCTAAAGAGTGTTTTAGTGCTTGTTAGGTAACTATAGATGGAAATTCTATTCAAATTATAATATACTTTTTTCTATTTGTATGAGGTCCTTCAAAAAGGTTACGATAAATTAATAATGGAGAATTCAACACATTTAATTTTATTTAATTGTTTCACATGCTATCTTGGATAAGTAACTGAACATAAATTCAATTCTTAATTAAACAATTAATAGGTACACCTAATAATGAATGCTAAAAATGAAATATCTAACTCATGTTTCTACTGTAATGATTTAGTTTTATATAAATTGATCTAAATTATTTTAATGATAAAATTATTTGTTTCAGAATGAAAAATATTGTTGGACTACTATTGATAGCCACAGCGTTGGCTTATCCTGTAGCGGAAAATGAAGAAAAGGCAAATCTACCTCTAGTCATTACGGACTATTCATCTGTAGCTGAGGGACAGCAAAAACAAGCGGCACAAGACTCAAATGAATCTGCTTCAACCTCATCAGAAAGCCAAGAATCAGCAGAAAATGCAAGTTCAGAAGCTCAGCTTGTAGCGCAAGAACCTAGCAGTCAAGCTTCTAATGAAAATTCAGGAGAAGAAAAAAAACCTCTCGAACAACCAGCTGCTCAACCACTGAAAGAAGAGGCCAAGGCAGAGGCTCCAGCTACCAGCGAACAACTACCAACTGTAAAATCAATGACAGCTGAAAAACAAGCAGAATCAGTTGCTCCAACTCAAGAAACAGTTTCTGAAGTATCAGCTACTTCCGATGCTACAACTGAAAAGGATCAACAACAGCAGCTTCCTTCTGAAGAAAAACCATTAGCCCTGCCAGCAAAAGCTGAAGAATCGCCTGAAGAATCTCCAAACGCAGCCGCTACTGAAATCAAAGAAGAAGTTATTTTACCAAGTGAACAAAAATTAGAGATAAGTCCAGCTGCAGAAGAAAAAATACCTGAACTTAAAACAGCCGAAGCCTCACCTGTGGCTGAGGCAAATACAGAACAAATTGAAAATAAAAAAGATGTAGCTTCAGCCGAAGTTAAGCCCGACTCTGAAAAAAAAGCTAAATCAGGTGAAGCACAACAATCAGGGGAACAAAACTCTGGAGAAAAACCAGAATCACAAGAACAGGTATCTGAGGAGCAAAAGCCCCTACAACCTCAAGAACAACAACCAGAACAGGATCAACAGAAGCAGCAACCAAAGGAGCAAAAGCCAGAACAAGAAGAACAACAACCACAAGACCAACAAGCACAAGAACAACAATCTCAGCAAGCACAAGAATTGCCACTAGAAAAACCTCAACAGGCACAGGATCAGCAACCACAGGAACAACAGCAAAAATCACAAAAGCAACCACAAGAACAACCCCAAGAACAGCCACAACAGCAACAGGAACAGAAGCAGCAAGCCCAGGAACAGCTGCCCCAGCAAGTAACTCCACAAAATTCTGAACCAGCCAAACCAGACCAATTATCTGAATCCAGTGCACCAAGTTCTTGAATTTTTCGTTAAGGAAAATTTTTAACTGACTGATGAGGTCCGCTTGCCCTTTTGTTCGATTCCCACTTAACTATTTTTCTCTTTTTGAACAACTGGGTCTACCGGCCCTCGCCTAATTTTATTATTTATGTGTGCTCAATTAATAGGGATCGAATATTTAAATAGGTACCGAAACGTCCGCCGTGTTTTGTTGTAAAAACCGTGTTGTTTTTATTTTTATTATATTATATTTTGTCTGTTTTATTCTTATTTTGACTAGTGAAATAATTGGATTTATATGTTTAGATATACCTAGACATGAAAATAATTAAATTTATCCTAGACACATTTAATTTCCCAACATTTCTATACATTTTTAGATTAAGATTATGTATTAAAAGCTTTGAATAAAGTTTTATACATAAAACAAAAAGTTTCTCATTTTGTCACTTTACCTGAACATTTCCTTTGTACGAGAAAAAAATAAATAAATTATTTGTAACTGTGCACAATATAATTTAACGGTTTAATGATGTAAATTCTAACATAACAATGACATAAATGTTTACTCACTGTACAAGCAATCTATCTGACATAAATATACAAACAAATTAAATAATAATAGAAATCTACAATATTAGGTTAATACGAAATGGTGGTAAAGAATGTTAATTTTTTCCATAATTTTTTGAAAAAAAAGTAGTTTTCAGTAAGAACATTCTAAAGAAGTAAATTTTATTTTATTTTAAGAACAGATCTTGTAATAATTAATGTAGAAATAAATTACAATAATTCCTAAGAAACAATGAACACCTATTATTTAATTTGGATCTTTAATTTTAAATTTCTGCGGAAATAACAATACTTAGTATGTACTTCGCAGAAGGATATTTTTGATCCTAAAATAAATTTTAAAAGATATCTATAGTTCTACGATCATTTGCTAGATATATTTAAAATATATATATATATATATATATTCAGTATTATGTANTGGGGTCTATCTCATATATATATAATCTGTCATAATAAATTATTGAGTGTTGAAAGAAAAATTCTATTTCCGAAATATTATGTATATATTATTATTAACAAGAGATATAACGAGCATTTCATATAATAGGAGACACGTATTTCATTAAAAAAAAAGTTTGTATTAAGAAAGACGATTTTAGAAAACTGCATGCTTTGCTCTTGACTGTGATAAGCGATATTAACGTAAAATAAATTCAAACCCAGTAGTTATTGTATACATAATATTTGACTATTAAAAAATTTTTTGGAAAATCCGTGATGAACAGTTTTTATCCAATAACATGTATAATCTGTAAAAGTCTGCATTATGTGAATTCCTAAAATATAACCTCATTTTCGGAGATAAAACGATAAAACCTTGATTAAAGCGAAATATTAAAAAAACTGCCGTCTTTAATGGTGACATCAATGAAAATAGCTATCAAGATTTTCAAATTTAATATGCATACTTGGTTCATTTTATTGAAAAACACAAGTAGATTAATGGTCTAATTAAATTTTCTCTATATATATTTAACCCTTCTTGATCTGTTTAATAATAACCGATTTTGATAGTCATATTATTTAAAGCAACAAGGCTAATTAACAGGCCGAGATCACTTTGAGGTTTCTCAAAAAATGCATATACATAATAACATAGAAAGTCTTCAGTTAATACATGTGCCAGAATGTTTAAAAGCCATTCGTATTGAATATTGCCAAAAACCGAGAGTAAATCGTACATTTCAGGTTCGTAGGTACTTTTGTTTCAACGATATTGTGAAAATCGAGGGAACATAATTTTGTATACAGGGTGATTTCACTGTACATACTGAAACTGCAGGACTAGATTCATTACCAAATAATAAGTAGAGTTTGCTTTTTAAACTTTTTTCCTGTGGGACTCGGTAAGTGTTAAAGTTTACAAAAAAAATATATATTTTCTGCCATATCTTCATAATGCGCTGACGGAATTGAATGAGATTTACTACAGCGTATTCATTTAATTAACCTAGTGGCTTTAACCAGTGGCATGCTACTGGAGGTAATGCCCCATTTTCTTAAGAAAAAATAAAATACGCAGCTGGAAGTTTTTTTGTATAAATAATGTTACAGGTACTGTTATGTTAAATGAATGAAAAATGTTTTTTTAATAGTAGCAGCCGTTTAGGAGATATTTGGGCTTGTTTTTACGTTTTATTGAATTTTCCTAAAATTAATGGATGAAAACCTCCTGGTTTTAACCAGTGACGTGCTACTAAAGCATCCGCCAACTTTTCTCAAGAAAAGAATACACCACTGGCGGTTTTTTGTAGAAATAATTTTATTTCTGGAAAAAATATTAAACTAAAAAATAGCATTAGCAAATAGGTCGAGTAAGTAATTAAGTAACTAGTCCTAGTCCTTGTTCAAAACGAAGTCCTTCCGCATCGATACACTTTTGACATCTAATCTATTTATAGAGGAACTTATCATCATAACATGATTTTCCCTGAAATTACAATTTTCGTCTATTCTTTGCCACAATTCGCTTCGTGTTCATAAGCCCATCAAGAACTACGGCTTCAGGAATAAATACACAAAGTTAGTTATAATACTAAAACGAGATCATCGTAAAGCTTACTAACTGATAATGTAGACAAAATAATCAATTTCTGCAGATGAATTTTAAACAAATATGAGTATGTGGACTAAATTTGCGCATTATGGTCTGCAAATAAGTAAATTATCTCCTAAACGGTTGCTACTATTAAAAAACACGAAGAATAACTTTTCTTTCATTTAACGTAACAGTACCTAATTACTTCTACAAAAAACTGCCAGTAGCGTACTCTTTTCTTGAGAAACCGGAGCGGCACCTTCAGTAGCACCCCACTGGTTAATGCCACAAAGGTCTAATTAAGTGAACACGCTATAAAAAATTTCATTCAAATCGTTCAGCACAATATGAAGATATTACCGAAAATATAATTATTTTGGAATCATGAACAACCTGCATCTCGAATACCACATCCCCAGGAAAAAAGTTTATACAGCAAACTTTACTTATTTTCTAGCAACTATTCTGCAGTTTCTGTATTTAAAATAACATCACTCTGTATAACAACAACGTGTAGGGAAAAATAGATGCATTTTTTTAACTGGGTATTGAAAATTAAGTTTGAAATACAACAGTGGCGGCTCGTGAGGTTCGACTCCGGGACTCCGCCCCCCCCCCC